CAATATATCTAGAAATAAAAATAGAAATGTATATATCGGTATATACACATTAAATAAAAATAAATTAGAAAATAGTATATAATATAATAAAAGTCTAAGTGTGTACATTATAATACAATATAGGACAATATATAGAGATAGAAGTGAGCGTACGCTACAGTATGACCAACAGAAGTCTAATGAAAAAATATTAGTGAGTACTGATGATGTTAATAATAAAAGACTGCAGTATTAGTGCAGATAAAAGATAAAGAAATGTATGAGGAAATCATATCTGAAGGTGTGCTCAGGAGCACAAAAATACAGGAGGTGAGAAAACAGAGTTGTATAAATCCCCAAGAGGAGCAATGTCGGGCAATTCAGTACACAAAACAAACACAAAAACTAACTGAATAATGCAGTTCATCACAAATAACACATGGAGTAGTAAGGTGTGAACAAAGTTCACTGTTTAAGATTTTACAAATTTATACAGGAGCAGTAACAAGCAAGTGTCTAACACGGTAAAAGTTTGAGTATTTTAAAAGCATAACAGTGTAGGAATAAAGAGAGCAGTTCAATACCACTTGCTCTTGTGGTATAAATGTGATATTAGCCATTCCAACTGAAGTCAACTCCAAAACAAAAATAAGAGGTGTATGAGGGGAACAATCCTGCTCCCCATAACAATGAGATGATGAAGAGTCGAAGTGTTTCAAAGCTGTAGGAGTTAGCTGTGAAGTGAATAGCAAATAGGCAAAAGGAAGGAAGAACTTTAATGCAAAAAAAAGAAAAAAAGGATCATATGAGGAAGTCTCTGCTGAACACCACAAACACACTGGGAGAGAAGTTAGGGTTGGAAGACCTGTCAGAAGTTTGACAGCGCAGTTGGTTAAAGTTACCAATGTGAAAATAACTCTAGCCTTATTCTCTTGCTTTTAGCCATCACAAGGATTGATTGTGTTCATGAAAACTAAGTATCATCCACAGTTAACTGTTTATGGTTCATTGTAAATTCATGAATACTGCTGTGAGCATTCTGTGCTTTGAGAGATGACATTGGCAAAATCCAACAAAATAAAGAGCATGTGAGCAATGCTCTTCACTCAGTATAAAGACGTGTAAGTTTTACTTTGTTGTTTGACCACTTGGGGGCAGTAAAACCAAGCTGTACACGTGACACATACATATTATCACCTTTTAAGCGGATATGAAGAACTCTTTAGAAAACTGATGGTTTTTACTCATCTAGCAGATGCAGAAAAAAAGTATTTTGTGTCTACCTGGCAAATGTCCCATGTTCACCTTCCTTTCAGCCACTTTGTTCACCAGTTAGTTGCTTACTAGCTAGTTGCTGACTGTCTTCTTTTTGATGCTAGGAAGATAGTGTGCAGTGAGTTTTCGCTGAAAACAGCTGCCTGCTGCTACTGCTGGGAAGGAGGTTGATGACAGTGATGAGACTAAACTGTACAATAATGTTGCGCGGTTGTAAAGCCAAGGAGTTAAAAGGTGCTAAAAGGCTCCATCGAGCAGCGTGGGGTGATTCCTCTGTGGTACATACTATATTCTGGTATATACTGTGAACGACACCTTTCACATAACATGTAGTCATGTGATCCAATGTATAGATATAGAAAAACTGATTATAGCAGCTTTAAAGAAATAGTGATGTGTTCTCATGGCCCCTCCGCTGGCTTGGAGAGAAATGATCCTGATAAAGCTAAATTAAGCAACAAAGTTACAGTTGAACTTAATTAACAGTTAGGAATGCAAAATCTAGAAAATAGGACTCATTATACTGTGAATTTCCCTTTATCCCTTGTTGTGGTCTTTTGTTTTTAGATGTGATTCAGCATTCATTTACAGTTACCCTTTCTTACACTCTTGCAAGCTTTTAGGGGGCACTGCAGTGTCTACTGAGGATACACTGACCCTGGAACCCTGTCTGACCCCTTCTGGTTTCACAGTGTCTGTGACACACTATCATCCAGTAATGTAGATTGATTCCTTAATCTATGCTAGCACTGAGTGTCGATTCAGGTTTCTTGACTGCCTTCTCAGCAAGCAGAAAAATACATTAGAGGGATCAACCTCTAATCTATTAATTCACCATTTAATTTGTTGCGTTCCCCTAAAGTCATTCCAATGTATTTTTAACAAGCCACTACAGGCTTCACCACAGTAGTTTCCATCCCCTTTTTAAAACCATCCAAGCTCAATTCAGTTTCACCTTTCCCAGGCAAACAAAAACAGTTTGCCTCCCAAATTAAATCTGTCAGACCAAGGTCAAAACACAGACAAACACTGGTATTGCTATTGAAATAAGAAAGGACTACAGATTAACGGCTGAGAAAAAGCTTTTGTTTTTCCCAAAGAAAGAGATGAAGCCCTGCAGCCCAAATGTATTGAAACATTTGTAATATTAAGCTGTTGTTTATTACACAGGCGGCTGTAATATCCGTTGTAACTGAGCCAACAGGGGAGATCAGGTGGCATATTTCCCCCCAACAGACACTTTTATGAAAACTCTTCACAATATGCAAACAATCAAAAGTGCAGTAATATTAATGGTAAAATTAACTTGTATGGATTGGAGTTGTGACAATGTCAAGACCTAACACCATTGATCCTCTCAATAAACTGTATTATCGACGAGTGAAATCTATTAGTAGTTTTCATAAAAGAACATAGAAGAAGATACTGGCTATGGATATGAAATATACCGTAAAGATGATGGACACATAAGCAGAAACCACTGCATGACCTGAAACCAAGTCTGATGGCCAACATAGTTAGTAAGTATGCTTACTGTGTGAATAAAATCAGTATAACTGAAGTCGGTTGTGGGGAGATCAGTGTAACCTATTTTATGCTTACTTGGTAACAGGGAAGGCTACAGCCCTTTTTGCTGACACAAGAGTAATGGGTTGGACTGTGTTTTAAAGTGCTTATTCTGTACATGATGTTCAGTCTCATTTTATTTTTATTCCTGGAGTTTGTAGAACATTATTAACTCTAATCGATATTTTAAATTTGTATAGTCATTTGTTGATTAAAGCTAAAAGGGAGTCAGAAGAAAACATTATTCTGTTATAATAATTCAAATTGTTATTGCTCAAATATCTAACTTGGATTGTGTGCTGATTGAGTCAAGCTAGCATTTAAAAAATAAAATGTGTAATTATGTAAAACTCGCACTTTGTGTTGTTATTTTCTTAACAATCAACTAACTACTGATTGTTGCAAAATACCTCCAATAATCAATGATAGGAAATTCCTTTAAATTGGCATCCCTAAAATGAAGAGTGATTAAGGAAGACCAAATGAAAGAATCAATACAAGAATGAACAAGTCTGTTTTAATTGGATCAACAAACCTGAAGTCTGTCGACATGAACTTTGACCCCTCCAATGTTGCCTTTCTTGAACGAGGCCAGCATGTCCAAGACTGGGTTGAAGCGGCTCCCCCTGGAGAGATTATGTTTTTAGGTTATTATTATTTCTTTCACAGTGCACAGTAGAGTGAATTCTAAGTCCAAACATTTGTGTTAACTGTTATATACTATATATATCATCAGTATGAAATCATCACAGCTGAAAGCTTTCTCAATAAATCAGCACATTTCACCCAGACCCTCATTGCTTTATTCGGTTTGCTGTCGCCTTTTATACCGGTCATCATCCCGATCAATAGCAAACTAACGACTATTGAGCTGCTTCTATGAGAGCCCACTGACTCATTCCAGATGCCGCAGTGTGGCTGTTTAAGTGTTTGCAGCACATTTAACATACGGCTTCCTGGATAATGGTCAATACCGCTATAATTAGCCCACCAGCCACGCTGTAGTGATACAAATGAGAAACATTATCACCCAATCAGCAAGCAAATACAGTTGCACCTTCCTGCTATAAAGATAAATAGTACACATAGAAGGGAAGAGAGGTAGAGAAGAAGGGAGGAAGAGAGAGAAAAGTGCACTGTGAGTGTCAAGACATTTTGTTGCGAGCTTGAGCCAGTATCAGACAGCAAAAGAGGGATATAGGGTGATGTATGGAGAGATAGGAGAAGGAAGAATGATGTAAGAAAGCTATCAGAGGACAGGAAGACAGAGAAAAAGATAAAGCAGCTATTATGGAGTGTGTATATTACTTGATGTTATCCTCGCGGATGAGAACCAGGAAGAGAGGACGTCCCTGCATCTTCCAGCACTGTTTGATGAACTGCAGGGCGTTCTGCACACACGTACACACACACACACACACACACACACACACACACACAGACACCATTTCAGATTGGCATGGGCATGGTGCTGGTTCAAAGATTTCAGTTTCCACTGTTTCTGAGCATAAATTGAATCAGTTCCATTTCTTCAACTTGCAGCTCCCAAACTTCAAACGCATCAACTGTCAAACTGAACAAAGTTTAAACTGCAAACTTTTTGATTCTGAAGATTCATTTATGTTTAGAATATAGACTAAACTGAAATTCAACAGTTGTTACATTAGATATATACATTGACTATTTGTGATTTGAAACAATATAGTCTGAAAATGGGGCATTGGCTTATTTATCATAACTATACTCCATACAACTAGAACAGTTCTGTGGTAGGATTTGAACAGGGGGAATCGTAACTATATTGGTATACAACTCAGACCTCTAAGCCATAAGGACACTCAGCAGCTGATGGTTTGTTTCAGAAAAGAAGAACCTCTTCATAAGTTTTTACAATTTTAAAAGTGTTGTCAACTGACTGGAAGCTGTTCCATTACTGCATGGCATCAGTTAGCGATAAAAATGATTAATTATGACTCTAAGGAAAGCACTTTGAATGAGAAACAAGCTGTAGTTTTGTGCGCTTGCAAACTCAATAATCAATCAATAAATCTAGTGCTTGAATTGAGTCAGTACTGTCAGCACTTTCTGTTTCTGTCCATCTCAGTACTCATTAGTCAGTGCTGCCACTTTTTAATAAATGTACCACAGGTACAGATGATGAAGTTATTATAAGTGTATGGGGAAATAGGGCAGTTTGCTGCTCAAGAGAGCTGCAAGAGGAGGCAAAACTGTAAAGCTACAATGTGAGCTAGAGGTCTAATTCAGCTGGAAAACTGCTGGTTAAGTGCTTAGTTCTCTGTTTTTGCTGTAAAATTGTTGATCATTCTTTCACATTCATTATTATCAGTATTTAGTGTTATGAATTAATCATGATTTGTACCCTCAAATTATTTATTTTTGTGCCTCAAAGACTGCTTGTGCAAGCTAGGCAGACAACCGGTTTAGACTACTTGCACCTTTTATGTTACAATTTAAGCACTAAATGAATTACAGAAGAGCTGAGTTTAGGAGAAGCCAGTATCAGTGCTGGTACTATGACTCTGGTATGTGCCCTTTCTGTGGGGCCAAGTAAAATAAGTATGCAATCAAACTCAGCTGATTTCCCGTCTTTTACACAAATGTCAGACTGCATCTATTTAGACCAGACAAACTGAATGTATCTCAGTTATCATTTAGGTTCTACAAGCACATATAAAGTGGTTAGCTGTGGAGTCATGGCATCGGTGAGCTCCACAAGTGAGACCCTGGCTTACCTTAATGTCATCAATCAACAGCATAACATCTTGAGACAAGTAAAAGTCACTTAGATCAAACACTATTGGGTAGCACACCACCGTCTTGCCCAGGATACGATAAATCTGGAGAGAGATACACACACACACACAGGACTGCATTAGAAGACGGATGGCTCACAAGTAGCCACGTATACATTATTCTGGGCAGTGTATAAAACAACCCATCAATCCTAAGATAGAGGGGACACACAGAAACTACATAACCACTCCAGATAACACACACACACATACAGTACATACACACAACTCGTACAAAGCTCCGTTTCACACATACAGATTGTCACAGGGGCACACACACAACCCTACAGACACACTGATGATGATAATGCCCTCTGGCAGTCTGCCATCTTCCCCATAAATGTTCCATTATAATATTGTCTTAGCAATGCGTTGGGAGCCATGATTCATTTGTTTGGCAATGTCTTTGTTTGAGAAAGCTGCTATGGCTCAACTTATTTGGTCGTGCTATGACCTTCATTTGAGAGAAACGGCAAACAACATCAGCAAGAGACGTAAGCACACACACACGCACTCGCACACACATGAACTGTACAGACACACTTCCACGGCTATATAACATGCACAGGGACACACACAGACTGCCTGACAGCAGCTTTGCATTTGAGGATAAAATAAGTCCTAAGAATAAGCAAAATCTATTCAGCATTCACTGATGTATACTGTATCTCTGAAGAATATAAAAACTCTTGGAACTGAGTATTTTCTGTCTTTGTGTTGAGTTTCTGAGCTGCAGTCGACTTGTCAGAGCTCTGGGAAATGTATGCAGATCAATATGTGGGAGGTGTGTTGGTGGTCACTCATGACCTGTGCAGCAGGGCAACATGAAGTGCACATATGTGTGTGCATGCACCAGCATGTACGTGTGTAGGTGTGTTTGCAAGCACATATACCTTGCAGGTCCCGATGCAGCCCACTGGCCTATCTGGACGCCCACTCAACCCCAGTTTCTTATTCACAGCAAGGAAACGGTATGCCTGCAGAAAGACACATGCACACACATATTTGCATAAACAAATACCTTGTCAATAAACACAGCATTCATATTGCACACAATCTTACTGCCAGCCTTTCTGTTTACAGACAAAACTAAAATCTTTATCTGTACATTTCCCTGTGATCCTATCAGTATTGCTTTGAGATTAAAAATATCATATTTGATTTGAAATGTCATGCCGCACAGTGCGATTCCATATCGTAATGAAAGTGCGACTCCATCATCTGTCTGTCCCACTGAGACATTTCTGTTGTTGCAACACATAAGCTGAAATTACAACCATATGGCACAGCCACCTACTGATATTAGCTCTGTGTAAAGTTATGAGATGTGCCGATAATGAAAGGTCCCTCTGCTGCCATCAGCAGCGTGCTTAGTGGACCCAAGTACACCCATGGGCACCGGAGCTGATAATGCTGTTATCTGCTGAGATGCAGAGGCCCGTAAGAAGAGAAACAGAGACCTAGCTGAGCCCTCATTAGAATAAATAAACGACAACATGCTGTTTGATAATTCCCGGATGAGCCACTTAGCATATTATACACTGCTAAAAATATCCATCCAGGCCCCACCCCCCTTAGTTATTGTTACCTGCCGTGCTTTACATTCCATTATACCACATATGCTGTTTACAATGGTAACAGATTCACCACTCATATTTAGATTGGGTCTTCATTTTTACACAGAGGTAAACAAAAGCAGGTTTCTCAGTTGTAGCTGCTGTCAGTTGATTTTGTCACTTAAATGTCTACTGTTGCTAGCAGATCTATTCAGATTTATTTTGCTTGCTAATTAAGGCCAACTCCATGAATTGGTTTTAAATGCCTTCTCAAGCTGACTTTATATGCTTCCAGTTGAATTGAAATAGAGAAGAATAAATAAATAGCATTGTTCTTGTATTGGAGGGTGAAGCAAGTTCAATCTGACATTATAGCATAGTATCCTAATTGAAAATGTTAGACTGTTATACAGTAGAAACACATGCCCGGACAGGCAACACAGGGGTTCGATTTATGCTCTATTGCTTGTATTTTCGAATAATGTTTCTAATCTGTCCAAGCAAAGAAGTCTAAATAAAGAGCAGGACAGGGTCGCTATTGTTACTCCAACTAGCATTGTGGCTTCCATGCTGAGGATGTGGCAGTCCTGAATGGCGATATTTCTGATGTAATAGGTGTCCTGCAAAACAATTTGCCCCACTTGTTAAGAAATGTCTTCCAATTATGCTATTTTGTTTTTTGTTTTAGAAAGGCCAAAAAAGGTCACCACCCATATATGACTGAAAAATTGTCCAGGTAATGGTCGTTTTCAGTTTCATTTGTTAACAGAAACGTGTACAATTTTACAGTTAAGTCAGTTTAATCATGTGGAGTATTACTAAGCCATGGCTGTATAATGTATGTGGCCCCTAAGGATCTGCGTCAAGTCTGAGAAAAATATTGGTATACTGCTTGGAGACTACACATTTAAAACAGGAAGCCTATGTTACAAACCAAGAGCATGGAGTTTGTATGGGAGGGTGTAAAGAAGAGACATTGTTTACGGGCGTGCAATGCTACAATAAATAACTATGACAGGTTAAAATGTACCAGTTGAGTCTTTTTCTTGCTGTAGATTGACCGGATTTTAAACAGATGAAACTGAAATGAAATTAGTCAGATTAGTCACTTACTCATTGAACAGATATCTAAAACTGCCTTGGTTACAGCACCACACTTTCCACTCAATAAAAATGCTCCAATCCAACATTCACCCCAAGGATAGCTATATATATTGGAGGTGGAAAGAGAACCTTTATTTTGGGCCTGATCAATGCATAATCTGTCCACACACTGTGGTATTCTATAGTTTAACTGTAAGTCAGATGTCATGCCTCAAGACTCAGTTTGGTCCCACAGACTCGAGGCAAAAACACAGAGTCAAGTCAAATGTCAAGTATAAAGCAACTTCAGGAGCTGAAAAATGTTAACATCAGCAGTGCAGGATGTCCACTGTGCAGAAGCTAGGAGAGAGCTCGACATTACTGCTCAACTCTGACAGAGTTTGGCTGCAGAAGATTGGCTTAGAGTAGCTGAGGTCAAGTTCCACGCTTAATTAGTGGACTGAAATTCTGTCAGTCATGTTGGAAAAAGTATAACTCCCCCGCAAGTTCAATTTAGATTTCAGGGCTAATGCAGCTCAAACCCTAACCCAAGCTCTAACCAACAACACGGTTTTACTTGAAGCCTTTTGCACTCATTGTGGCATTAGTAATACAGCTGCACAACTACCCAGGTATAAAGAGCAAGACAGATAAACAGACATATTTTTTCTCGCAGGTGCTGCATTAATTACCCAATTGTTACATCAAGGGCTCCGCAGTTTGTCAAAACAAAGCAGAGAAAAAAGGTCATGGCCCTCTCTGCAGCTGAGAGAATACAGGAGCTCCACCCTATCAGTTTCCAGAGCATTTCTTTGGTGCTTTAGATAAAAGCTCCTTACTGCTGTGTCGCCTGCTGTCAAAATGCACTGATTCAAAGATGCACAGAGAAAGAAGATGGACATTGATTTCTCGGCTCTGCTTGCTAGGAGCCCAGTGGTGTGACACACTCCCCACAAGTTACCATTTATGTGTGTTTGAACTGACTGTACGTTTGTGAATTACTTTTCTGATGTGAGTGTGAAACCAGAGTACTTATTCCCTTTGTGACAACCTATAAATTCTAAATTTAAATACCTCCCAATCCATCCTATCATGAAACAGCATCAGTACACCCACACACTCAAGTGGCACTGCAGGAAATCTGCCTATCAAGCCCTCAATGCCGCATTCTTCCATCTCAAACAAACTGCAATTCACAATGTCGGCCAAAAGGTGGTGCTCTGCTACTCCAGTGTACTTCCTCATTGTTGGCTGAGCTGAACACAACAGGAGGAACCAATGTTGGACCAATTAAAAGAAATTACACTACAAGATGAGAAGGAATTGTCTTTATACAAATATATACAAAAAAAGAGAATGTTAATTGAGGATTAAGTGGCATTGCAAATCACTGCCCTAACAGGCAAGAATGACACCTGGAGGAGAAAAGCCAAGGGAGGTTGGAAGAACCTCTGCACCCAAGACTTCCTGTGTGCAGAATACCAATGAAGAACGACAACACACAGGCAGCCTATCAAAGCATCCTTTCATTCCCTCACATTTACACTGACCGCAGCACAAACAGCAAGCCTGACAGGTGGGAGGGATAATAGAATGCTGTATTTAAAAGCTGTATTTCACATTTTTACAGTGGCTACAATGTGTGAGAATGTAGTATTGACTGACAAACCCTTTTAAAACTTTTAATTCAGTATAGGGAGATTCCTCAATTTGATAGGAGACAGGACGAGGTTCTTGCACACTTTTATAGCTGCTGCCTCAAGTAGTGTAAATGTTACTGTTGGTGTCACTAAATGTGCATAACAGATTTACTTTTACAGCAGATGCTGTCATCCAGAGGGACTTACAGTGCAGGTTGGAGTTCAGCATCTTGCAATACAGCTCAAAATGATTGAATTTGGGATTAAACCTTCTGGTTCTTCTGTACCCACTGGTTTGCCCCGTAAAATGTCTTTAAAGGAAAGGGTCATACATTGAAAGAGTTGTTGGATGGTGGAATTGTTCTTCCTGTGAAGTAATTCCTTACCACTGGTAAGTAAAGACTGGGCATCCGCAGTCCTCCAGTGTAAAAAATGCTTTCTAAACCTCAGGCGAAGCTAATGGCTTCTGCAGTCGTTGTTGGTTAAATGAAGTGTGTATCTTTGCAAAGTAAGTCATCTTTTAAGTTCAAAATTCCCTTGGACAGCATTTCCTTGCTGAGCTGTGGTGGAGGAATAGTGACACAAAGAAAGACTGTATTGGCTTCTGCTGAACTATTAACTGTATTCTTCTGCAAAACAGGGCCTGCAGATTTTGACCCTCATCTTTGTACTCACGTTAAGAAGGGATCTCGTCACAGCCAGAATGGAGAGGAGAAACGATAACAGCAACCAATAACTCTTTAAATGTCAAAGAAAAAGAGAATTTTTGTACCTGTCGAGCTGGGTCTTATAATTCATATATTTGTCCATTCTGACTGCTGGTCATGAATGATGAAAATGTTACTCACCACCTCTGTTGGAGGGATTTTGGAAATGCAAGAATGAAAGTCATAGGGCCAATGTCAATACAAAGAATTTCAGTTTTACAAGAAATGTTTCCCTAATCTCTGAGTTGGTGACTAAGATGTTATAATGACCAATGATCTTAATTAACAAAAGTATTAGAATAAGATCAAGGTGGGAAAATACCATAATTTCCCTTTAATGTCTCTTAAGACCTGCAGTCTTTGTGCAGTGTCTCTTTAGGACCTCATTTGGATGACCCCAGGTGTTGCCTGAAAGCGCAACATGCGGAGAGAATGAGAGTCTCAATACACAAAATATAGTCCGCATGATGTCCACATTGAGTATCAGATATAAAAGCGGGAGAGAAGCAGCTAAAAGAAAGGCTATTTTTGGGCCAAAGCTGTGATTTGCAAGGTGATAAGCTTTAGGGTGTACGGGTGGGAATAACACATTGCAAAATGTAATTGCCACTCTCCCATCGTCAGGCAGCTGTTGTCAACACAATCAAACGGCTGCGAGGGACGAGGTGAGGTGAGCAAATGCAGCCTGCAGCACCCGAGATGTTGGTGACTCTGAGATAAACAGATTCTGTCGAGGAAGAAGCGTCTGGCTGGGCTTAGGATTTAATATTCAGCACAGCGCCCGCTCTGACTCACAATTGCATATCCATCTAAGAGACTGAGCGCCACGCAGCAGAAAGAGGCAGAGGGGAGAGAAGGAGAAAGTAACAGGTATGACAGTTCAAAGGCAGATGATAGACCTGGAGGGGAGAGTTGTTTGGTGTAACAGACATAATGGGGGCGGGGCAGGGTGTAGGCCTAGAGGGGAGAATGGGGTTAGAGAAACGGATGTGACGGATGTAGCAGGAGATGGACAGAAGGTAGAAAGGCCTAGAGTAAAGAACAGAGACCGCAGAGATGACACAACAGAAGAAATTGTTTGTTTATGGAAGGTGGCGTAGAGAATAGAACAACACAACAGACCTGACAGATGAAGAACAGAGGCTAGGAAGGAGACCAGGGTTTAAGTGATGGATATGACAGAGGAGAGACCGAAGACAGGGGGGGAGATAGCAGACTTCAAACAGTACACATGCAGATGAGGGACAGTATCTAGAAGAGAGACCAGGCTTTGAGTGACGGATACAATGGGAGTGAAACAGAAGTTGGAAGGGAGGTAGTAGTTGGTGTCACAGATATGACAGTACAAATGGTGTAATCTGCTGCAGATGAAAGAAGCAGAGTGGACAGGAAAACAGCATCTAGTGCTGGACTTGTTACTCACAAAATGTTCAAAAGACTGCAAGTTCCTTCCCCCGTTACTGACAGAGTACCTCCACTGTTAATAATCAAGTAACCAAACAGATTTGATCGTATTATGTCATCCCACTGCAATATTTACACCCACAAAGGATTGGCAGTACCTCCATCAAGGCAGTCAAGTCAACTTTTCACCTATTTAACATTCACAATTGTTTGTTTACTAGGGTTGGGTTCCAGTAGACAACTCCATTTTGGATCCAGTTCCAAGTTGATAAAGTGCAAGTTAAGTCTAACAAATATCTTCTGTCTCCCTTTTTAATGAAAGAGTAATGTACATGTATAAAACATAGCAACCTAACTAAAAAGTAAATATTTTATATATATTGGAACTTAGAGAATTACACTGAACTGAAAGTCAGTCTTTGAGTTTTAGCTCTTAGATATGATGAGTAGACTTGCTGGTTTCAGATTTGATGAAATTCACATTCCTTTTGTTGAGAACACAAAATATGAATAATGAAAGCCCCAGCAGGGATTTTTTATAGGTTTTGCGTACTGAATTTCAGTTTTTAGTTGCATTAGGGCTGCCACAAAACGTTATAGTTTGACGTGTAAGAGTAGCATTACTGCTAAAGTAAAAATGTACCTTTTGTTCCATTCTTCATAAACAAATAGAGTCTACTTCAGTAGAATGTCACTTAACATGGCCATGACAGTGTCATAACCTGGATTAAAGACTAAAGTGACTGATGAGCAACAAAGAGATAAAAAATAAGGTAGGACATTTTTGTTCAACAAAATATAGATAGGGAGGTTTGGAAAATGTAAACAATAAAAAATTTTAACCCTTTTCTTATCTTTTATGGGTTGAATAAGTATCATAATACCAGTGTAAAAAAAAACAGCTTCTCTAAATTTTTTACATTTTAAATGTTACTGGGATTTCACCGGACTGCAGCTTACAGCTGTTTTAATATTCTCTTCAGAAGCTCCTCAATTCCACAAACTCATCTGCTTGTTTTGACCTCCAAGTATTCAAATGCAGGAGTGAAACAGTTTTTAAGGTAATAATGTGATTCTAAATAAACCATTCTGAATATCACCGGTCAACATTCAGAATATCTTTCGTCTCTTACAGAACTGCCTAATGTAGCCGCTCAGCTCCATGAATCTCTAATTTGCCTGAGTGACACAGTGACGGCTCCACCATTACGCTGATCAATCAACATGAACAATCACTGTTCGACTGATCAGTCACTTCAGCCAATCCGCAGCCTTGCTGTGATTGATGGGACAATCGTGAGGAAAATCTTAAGAGCTAGGAAATCTTGGACTGACAGGCAGATGGACATACCGAGCCAAGTTCTGCTCAGGTATTGATGGCTAAAGTAACCGCTGAAATGTAATGAGTGAGGTCTTGACTCAATCCTCCCTTGGACAGTGATTGTCCAATCATAGCTTAGCAACTGTAACTAGGCACACCAGGTCTGTTAAGCATTGTATTTATCCTGTAATAAGAGCGATATACCACACATGAAGAGCTTGGAGGATGGTGTCATTTGACTAACCTTTCCAAAACCAAAAAGAAGAGTATTGTAAGGAACAGATAAAACAGTGCATTTCTCTAAGATAAGCTGCTAATGTTAGCATGCCTGGCTAATTACAGTCTGATATGAAAACCTTTCTCATATTGTAACTATGAATCCATATTTTAAATTATTTTAGTGGTTTCTCTTTTTGATACAAACTGGAAACTCAGCTGGAGACTGACTGATGATGGACGTAGCAACAATACCCATGGGGGGTGGGGCTCTGTAAACAGCTTCGAAACTGTGTGACCAGGGTGTGTCTGTGTTACCTTGACCAGTTCCTTCTGAGGCCAGATCTGGATCGGTTCCACCTGCTGGGGCGTCTGGGTCTGAATGCCATAGGTGTTCAAAAACACCTGCAGTCTACACACACACACACACACACACACACACACAGACACAAAATAACAATATTGCATTTATAATTTCAGGCATTGTGTAGGCTATGTAGCTGTGGCTGGCACTGGTGCCCTTTTAAACTTGATAAATGCCTTCCCTACCTGCTGTTTGGGAAATAAACAACCCTTCTACCAGTCCCAAATCACAGACACACAAAAATATGTATTTAATCGTTTGTGACTTTATACTTCTTCAAAATAAATGCTGGAAATTACTTTAACTAATTATCCCCTTGTGAATCTACTGTTTCTACAGCAGCCTTTGACCTTTAAATCATACATTGTAAATCTGCGGCTTTATGAGTCTATACAGTAGTCCTTGAAGCTATAGCTATTGGCCTTGTGTTCCTGTAAATATAAAAGTCATGTAAATCTTTATCATGAAGTTACAGCTGTTATTGAGCCACAGCACACACCGGAGAGCATAAGTGGACCGCAGTGAGAAAGATGATGCACGAGTCTTGATGGGGGCTGGCCAGCAGCAGTAATTGAAGCTACAGGTTAACAAGCTTCACAGAGTCGTTTGACCCTGTTTGACACACATACACCCACACTCTTACACATGTATCCAAGCGTGCATACACACAGACGTACTCACACAAACCCACGCACACAATGATAAGAGTGACAGATGATGGCAGAGGTCAGGCTGAGCTCCAGCTTTATGAGCTCACCACAATTACAGCTCTGAAAGAGCTGAATAGGAGAGAGGAGCGGAAAATAACCACGCTTTATGGCCTGCAACACATTAAGAGGCACACACACTTATGTACACACACACATTACCTCTGGCTTTCTGCTATCAGGGCCACGTGAACAACTACGTCGTTCTCTATGGGACCCTGTGAAAGAGACAGAACAGAGAGATTAACATGTGAACCACATCTCTACTACATGTCACACAGACAGAAAACACACAGACCTGTGTGTTTTCTTTCTTGAGCTCATTCCTGCTTTGGCAACACTGTAAATGTGCACTGGAACTAATGCAAAGCAATTGAATCTGTAAGGATGGATTACAACGTTTAGATCCAAGTGCTCATTCTGGTATTTCTCAGTCTAGTGTGACTTAGTTTTTTTCAGATTTTTTTTAGCTAGGATTAATGTTTTACATTCTTGTTTTTGTTACTAATTCATTTCCTTGCTTTGGTAATGCTGTTCATTTAACACCCATGTCAATAAAGCAAACTGGAAAAGGATTCAACTGAGATGAATTAAAAATAGTTCATTTGTAAGTGTGTGTGTGTGGGTTGTGTTGTTAGGTGTTGTGTGTGTGTGTGCTCGTGTCGTTTGTGGTGTGTTGTGTGACGGACGAGTCGTGTGGTGTTGTGTGTGTGTGTAAAAGAAAGAGAGAGAGGGAGAGAAAGAGGGAGGAAGGGACATTGGTTCAATTTAAAATTCACCTCACTCCCTATCATAAAATGATAATACTGTCTGTGTTATTGCTACCTCCGCTTTCTCACACAATTTCAATGAAAGTTAAACTCTGAATAACCAACAAAGGTTGATGAGCGACGTGGAAGCGCTGGGCTCGGAGGTAAGGAGCTGGGAATTAAGCAGGACGAGGGAAATGTAAAAGAGAAGGAAGAGCAGAGATGGAGAGAAGCATGAGGCTGATACACCAGACACTCTCTCCGCTTTGGTGCCCACACAGTGAGATGAGTTGAAATGACATTAAATAGAGAAGTATAATACAGACAAAAAGAAATAGAGAAGCGTGACATTTGTGATGATTTTTTTGTCATAAGTGAAATACCAATTAAGTTGAAGAATGTTTTGATAATAATTTTAAGCCTTTTATTAAGTAGAAATCCTACGCACTTGCTGGTTGCAGCTTCTCTAATGTGAAGATTTGCTGCTTTTCTCATTTTCAAATCATAATACTTAATACCCTTGGGAGAAGTGACATGACTAATTATCAGACAATTTCAGAAATCTCAATATAATAACTCACTGGGCTATGGTAAATTGTGGCGGGCATTTGGCATTCATTTTGACTAAATGGCCAAGAGAAATAATCTAAATAAAATTAGTTTCTGAATCAGGTTACTTAATCAGGAATTTTTCTGTAACTTATAAAACTATGTTAGTGTCACTTACTAGTAAAAGCTGCTTAGAAAAGAACTTTCTGAACTTTTAGTTTGTGTCACTTAAAATTTTCAACGTAATCTGTTTGAACAATTCTTTTGTTAAAATAACTGCATTTACTGTACAGTGCAGCACGCTTCACATTGTAGCATTCTTTTTCTCCACTATACCTATGATACTGTTTCAGGACATTTAACATTGTAACAAAGTAATCCGAAAATAACCAATAGAACTGCACAATGACCACCATAAAATAAAAACATTTATACATTGTATACTATGTAAATAATGCATTCTAGTAAACAATGTTTCTTCAAAATGAAGTAACATCAAGGTGGACCGAATTAAGCATTAAAAACACATGGCTTTTCATTGCTTTCATGACTGTGGCCTCATGAGGAGCCCATCAAAGCAACACTTCCACTTGCACTACTACATACAGACAGTCACAATTGGCCAGAAGAGAGCATCCGATCACTCATGCTGCCTGCAGTGTGAATGCAGGGTGAGAGACAACATGAAAGACAAGGAGAAAAATACACAGAAAAAAGAGAACAAACAGTAATTTCAGAGGTTTTTTCTGCAGTAATCTCAGACCTTTTGGGCTCGTGGACAATCATGGAAAACAGACAAGAGACATCACAGTTGTTTGTCTTGTAGTGGAGCATCTGAGTACATCACACAGAATAAATCACATTCAGATGAAGCAAATATGTCGAAAGAGACAATTTAAATTTTGAATTCACTAACAAAGGCTGGTATTGTGTTTTTGTAACAGAAAAAATGGAAAATATCTGTATTAAATGACTATCTCACTAGTTGTATCCCTGACTTTTTTCCCATGTGGTTTCTCTTAAATGTATATGACTGTAAATGGTACTTATGAGAGTGTGTATCTGTCAGTCAGTTTGAGTGTGTGTCACCATATTTCTTTGTCTTATTGCTTGGCAAAAGTCATATTTATTTGTCTTTTTGTCCTATTACTTTTATTCATGATAGGTTTACGGGTGTTAACAAGTGTGCATTTCTTGTGTATTGTTATATTTATGCACATATACAATTCTCTCTGTATGTGTCCTTCAGTGCCTTTAATCTTATTGTTCTTTACATGTAGAAGTACTATTTATATGTGTAATTTATACGTGCTTGTGAAGTGAATTGGAGGCAGAGATGATCATCTTCAGTGCGCTGAGTGACGGCCTATTCAGGGCCATTTAGGAAGCAGGCAGCAGCTTGTGACTCACAGGAACAGCGGCCTTTCATCTCGTTCTCATTGTGGGGATGCACACACACACCCACACATACACACATTCACATAGAACATGGCAACACTCTTGCACATGAGGGGAGACAAGCACTGACCGGCAAGCACAGATGCTCAGATTCATAGTCAGTTACAGAACATAGAGCCAGGGAACAATACACACAAATAAGCATGCGAGTTGATGCGCGCGCACACAGACACACACACAGAAAGCTGGGAGCCATTTTGTTTTGTCGATAAGAGCTGGTTTTAGCCAACAACCTCGTTATCATAAATCAGAGAGTAGAGAGAGAGAGCAGAGAGATGGGGGTGGCTGAGGAGAAAAAACCGACGTCTGAACACAAATCTCTCCTGATGAATGGGGGAGCAATGGCTTCTAAAATGCTGCAGAGCAACTATCTCATTAGCGCTGGTCTCTGAGCAGACAAAGGACTCATTTGGCGAAGGAGAAGATATGGAAATGCATAATGGAGACACAGGAGAAATGTACTCTCTCAATCGCTCCTCCGTGCACTGCAATCGAACCTCTGCAACAGACAACTGTGCAACCGCAGAGAGGACAATGAGATGAGTCTTCAAATGTTTCTTTAAACAAACTTTTTGGCGGCACCCTAAAAACATCAATGTAGTGTGACCGAAATGGTGTCAAGTCTGACAGGGAAACAGAAAAGGAGAGGTGTGCCATTTCACCAAAGTGGCTCTGCTGCAGACTGCTAAAAGGCAGTTAACAAATCATATTGGACCCTGGATGTACCCGGTGCTGGGGCCATTGGTCTGATGTCAGCACAGCTCAGGCCAAATCTAACAGTTTAAAGACCTCTGGAGCACTCCCTGGAATTGGAATTCAGACTAATTAATGAAAAGAAAAAAAAGCTGGTAGAGCAAATTAGTTGCAATTGAATATAGATAATTAAAGTTCTGAAACTTTAACTAAGCATTATAATACAGTACAAAAGGAAATGGACTGAATTGTCCAAATGCTGAGGCGGATTTGATGAAAACAGACATGCTGTTTCAACCATGTGTTACATTGCTCTTAGAGCGGATATGCATGTGAATACAATTTTCTTGACTGGAAAAAAAACGTGCTCTCTTGCCCTTACTGCTGTTACCACCTACACATTAAACCTACACGCTAACCTACGATTACTACAAGTTCAAACAGCTTCTCTCTCGGAATTCTACGGGAAATGATTAACTACAGAAGACAAGGTGAGCTGAGGGAGATTGAGTAAGCCAAAAAAAAGGATTGCATCATTCTAAAATGAAATAACTCCTGGAGTGCACTCAACCTTACAGAGTGATGATATCTAACAGTGTACAGTATGTATCCAAGAGGGAACTTGCTGCTGGGCGAACAATGGGGATTCAGCTACAGGGCAACATACTATATATCTAACTGAGGTGGCAGGTTTACCATAACATGGCCAGGCAGGAAATCTAAATGTACTGTACATAAGCCCATAAAACCAACATCACTTCTGGTACCTATAAGAAAACATAGAAAACTTCCTCTGTGGGGGAGTTTTGCATAATTTGCCCTAACAGCAGGATGATTCAATAACAAACCTTTGAATTCATCTTAATTCAAATTCAAAATCAAACTCAACAGGCTACGCTGCATCATAAAATAAAATAAAACTATAAATTATAACTATTAAAATCAGTATTTTAATATCAAAGGACTAGTTCAATATTTTGGGAAAATTAGATTTCAGACTAAGAACTGAAAAGAAAAAAAGCTGGCAAAGCAAATGAGTTGCAATTGAATACAAATAATTACACTGTGTTCCAAATTATTATGCAAATATGATTTCAATTAAAGAAAAATTAAATTTTTTGTTTTTCAATGAAGGTTTTCAATTTCTTGCTGCTTTTGCGAGTGTGGTCTGTTGAGGATGTCATTGGACATCAAATCGTTTCAGACAGATTTGTTCTAATTTGTTGGTGCCAGTGTGGCCTAAATTATATGAGGAAGAGCTACATGAAGGCGTTGTTCACATTTATTAAGCAAGTCAGCAGGTTGTCATTTGCAATATGGGGGGAAAAAAGGATCTGTTTTGCTGATGAAAAGGTAGGTGTATTTGGTTGGATGTGGAAGTGGGGGGGTGGCGTTTCAAGTTAGGTTGAAACACTGGATGATATTTGAAATAGTAAGAGAGATCTGTGTGAAAAAGTATTTTTTGTGTCTTGATAGGTTTTGCAGTGCTGTCAAGACGGGGTTCATTCGAGGATGAAAAAGTGCGTGTTAGAAGAAAAGTTTCTAGTCGAGGCTTAATAATCTATGAGTATGTAAGGAGTAGCACTGTTACAAAGCAGGGTATTTGAGTGTGGTTGGCCTCTGAGATGAGTCCTACGACCTCTCGATAGCAGGAGTTGCTCCATGAGAGGCTGGCTGATGTGCATAAAGCTGATATTTGGCACCCCTGGTAAACATGCAGATCAAAGGATAAGATTGATTGAGTAAGGGCTCAGAAATACATGAGGGAT